AAACATGGTGTAATGGTGCAAGCTTTTAACAAAAAAAACAGAGGTATGAAAAAATGTATTTTCTTTGTTTTTAAGGAGTCAATTTTAATTTTCGCTTTATGAATACGTTTTATCTACCATGAAATAGAAAATGAAATAGTTTTTTTGTGCTTTAACAACTAACAATTCTATAATCATTTTATTCGGCTAGAGACTTGCAAGAATCAAAATTCTGATATATTTTAAAGAAATAGGAATGGGAAATCGTTAATAACGGAAATAAGAAAATCGTTGTTATTATATATTCCACAAAATCTTAAAATAATCACCAGACATTACGAAAAATAACTGAATAAAAACCACTTTTAATATTTTTTGTTTTCACTTTATTTAAAAAAAAATTAAACCGTGCCATGCGCTTCTGCTAATATTAGTGAAATTTTCATGTAATCTTCCAATTTTTTAAAGCGGTAATTTGAAAGCAACTGACCAATTAATTGGATTACAAATATCAACTTTTCTCCTTGTGAATATTGCAAGTCTGCAAAAATAGAGAAAGAAAGGAAAGATTTAGAAAATAAAATGAAATGAAAATAAAATGATTGATAATCGTCGAAGCGGAATCGGCAAAAAAATAGAGTTATTAAGGATTATTTGCAATAAATATTAAGTAAGGAAACCTAGTGCGCTTATTGTTGCTACTCGAGCAGTGTAGCCCATTTAAAATGACAAGAATTTATTCCATTTTCGAATTTAGTAAATAATTATTAAATGATTAGGGGAAGGAAAAAAATGTTTATTTTCGTGGTTTATTGCAGATCGCGAAGTATATGCGTAAAAAGATTGAAGCCACCTATTTGGTTAAGATTATGAAGCTTGGTTCGTCTCATTCTTTATGTAAATAAAAAAGTGTCATGAAATTTTCCTCAATAAAAATCCATCTTGGCAGATAAATCTGCCATATCGTCCATGAGCCATTCACTTTGCACCTACAGTTACTGACTGGCTCTTTATGAGCAAAAATTTTCAAAATATTTTTTTGTTGAGAAATATTATCTCATTGAACGAAAATCTCCACGAAATTGCTTCATTTATCCAATTTCATTTGTTTTTATCAAATTTTTAATTTTCATATTTTCAATGTTTTTTCCATTAAGTTTTAAGCAAAAAGGATGAAAGTCTTGGTCAATTTTTTTTCTCATTCATCGATTTTTTCTTTTTTTAACTGGAATTTGAGCAATTATTTAGCTTTTTTTATTAAAAAAATACTGAATTTCCTTGATTTTTTTAAAAAAAAATTTAAAAACTTGGAATGTTTATCAAATTCGTATATTGTCTATAACTGCGTAATTAAATTAAATTATAAGTAAAAAACTAATGGCAAAATTTAAAAATAATAAAATTATGAGAGCAATACAAATTTATTTTTTAATTGACCACGGTGAAAAACTTTTCATTATCGTAAGCGTTGAATAATTTGCGAAATATTTTCTTTTTATTTCATCTTAATGCTTTTCATATTTAAATTCACCAATAGGATTCGAATCTATTGCCTAAAGCTGCCCACGAGGATTAACGTGCCATTAAAAAATCTGCTGTCGGAGAATCGGCATTTCTATCGCTAATTGCTTCCTTGGCGAAAATTTATAAAACCTTGTAACAACTGATGCAATTACCGCAAATGGTGAACACTAATACTACATACTTTTCTTTTCTTTTCCTTTTCTTTCACTGATAAATTCGTTGTGCTAATCAAAGAGGAGATTATGACTGAAAATAAATTAAAACTCAGGAACAACTTCGAAATCGCAAACTTCCAAGGAAAAATCGCGAAATAATAGGACTCGCCCCAATAGCGTTTCGAGCTGTTAAAAAATGTGAATTTAATTGTTGGAATGGCTAAGGAGTAATAAATATTTAGCACTAATTTTCGGTTAAGCTTGCTCTGTGCAGAATTTTGCAATTTTTGCCAAGACTGACACTTAGCAGCAGATTATCCGGGTTTTTCGATGTTTCGATGATAGCTTTGATACTCGAAATCAATGTCCAGAAAATCATTCGGCTATTCTGTCTCTTGGAAGAGAGTGGAGATTGAAGACCGTGTTATTAGAAATAGTTGTAGGAAAATAAAAAGAAAGATGAATCCTAATAGACTTTCCACCATTAAACGTTATTTATTTGAATCTGTCAAATTCGTTCCGAAATACTGTTGGAAAAAATTCTACATATATGACCATATAAGTACTTATATGACCATAGAATTCCGCCTTCTTCATAAAGCAACTATAATTCAGAGAACGATCAATGAAATGGTAAGTGACAACAATGGTGTGCCAGTCAAGAGTATTAAGGATCGCCTGATAAGATGGAAAGAATTCTTTGAGATCAAACTTAACCATGAAGCGCCATCTGTTGCCCCTGATATAACTGATACGTTCGCTTTAGCCCATTTGTTCTTGTTGGATATAAATTTAACCTAAAATTATAATATTTTGAACAATCTATTTTAACATAACCATATGCTTGCAATTGTGAGCCCTCGACAGAAGAAGAAATAATATCTGTTATTCACAAGCTTAAAGCCAATAAGATTCCGGAAGAAGATGGTCTTCCGGATGGACTGAACCCTTCAAATTTTGTCCGTCGTCCTCCATAACGCACCTTCAACAAATGCACTCTCTAGTATGGGAAAAAGAAACCAGATGATTGGAGCAAAGCAATTCTGTTCCCAATTCTCGAGAAAGCTGATAGGATATACTGCCACAACCGAGGAATCAGCCTATTAGATGTCTCTGCGAAAATTTTCACTTTCCTTTTATTCAACAGAATTATGACAACACAGCACAGCAGGATACACCCTAATTATGCTGGATTCAGACCGGGGCGCGGTTGTGCTGACCAGATATTCACGTTAAGAGGGGTGTTGGAACACCGCTTTAGAGATTTGTAACCCACTGTCGCGTGTTTCATCGATTTTCCGGCTGCCTTTGATTCAGTCGATAGAGCGGCGCTTTGGAGGGTGATGGAATGTGACGGAGTTTCAGAAAAGATCATTCAACTCATAAAAGCATTTTATATTGGTGCAGGTCTGTGTATATGGTAAGTTCCTTCAAAATAAAAACTAATGTCCGTCAAGGTTGTATCCTTTCCCCTACATTATTCAATAATGCGATAGACTGGATAATGGACACCGCTTGTCGGCACATAAGAGTTGTCCAAATCAGTCCAGAGCATCGTACCACAGATTTTGAATACACTGATGATGTAGTCCTTTCTGCTGATAGTTAGGATGATGAAATGCAAATAATGCTATAGAACATGTCAGCAATCGCAACGAGAATTATACTCAGAATCAAGGTAAATAAAACGAAAATCTTTTCGTCTTATATGCAAGCTGATAAAATGCCTCTTCTTGTAAATTCATTGCCGATTGAGCATATACTCGATTTTAAACCTTGGGTCCACTCTAATACCAAATGACCAGGCAAAAGACGGTATTACAATCTCGATCACGCCAGCTAGAAATGTATTCTTCCGATACGAAACCTTCATGGAACCGCTGTGAAATTACCATAAACACCAAAGTCCGCATCTATGTAGCCGTCATTCGTTCGATCTTGCTATATGGCTATGAGATATGGCCAGTGAGAGTGGAGGATATTAAGAAGATATCTGCCTTTGACCACTCTTGCCTAAGGTACACTTTACAGGTCCGTCGAGAAGACAAAATATCACATGATGGCATCCATCTGCGTTCAAATACCACTTTCATTAATAATATAATCATAGAGTGTCGCCTTCGCTGGTTAGGGCACATTCTCCGTCGTCCACCACAGGAGTTGACACATATTCCGTTACTTGCTAAACCCTATGATGGTTGGCGTCAAAAGTGAGGTGTGCCAATCAAGACTTGGTCTAATACGGTAAGAAAAGATTTTGAACGTATAGGTGGACCAGCAATATATGGACTTAGATGATAGATAGAAAAAGGAATTGTAAATTCATTGCCGATTGAGCATATACTCGATTTTAAACCTTGGGTCCACTCTAATACCAAATGACCAGGCAAAAGACGGTATTACAATCTCGATCACGCCAGCTAGAAATGTAAATGTAAAAGGAATTGCTTCTATTACTGTCGACGATCGCGTCGCTTGGAAGCGTCTTACCTTTGTAGCCGTTGGAACCAGTCTAACCAGTAATGGTGAGAGCATTTAGAAGAAGAAGATATTATGCACTTATATACTCATTGATACACATTCGTATTCTTTTCTCATTTATTATTAGCCAAGAAATATGTTTTTTCCCATATACTCTGAGTGTCTTCAGAGTGATTTTATAAAATAATAAAAGGTTCGCAGGTTTAAAGTGCAAAATTAAGAGGAGATGCAATCGCCATTTCGCCACATTCTCGTCTTATTTTGCAAATATTAGCTTAACGATATTTAAATAACTAATTTAATAATTAATCACTAAAGAATGAATAAGTGAAAATCAAGAGGAGATAATAACAAACTAAAACTAAATAGCAGTAATTTGCTTATTTACTTGCGGTTTGAATTTATTAATTACTTGCATCATTGACTAGAAGGAGTCTGATCGTGTTTTCTAGTGACATAGGCATTATTTCGATAGAGTTTCTGACAAGTATAATTTCTTTTAAGGGTGATTATATGGTTGAATAAACTGATTAACGTCGGGAAAAAAAATCGTGAAAGTGCACTGTTCTTTTCGAACAGAGCCACCAACGTCCACACTATTATCCATCCATTTTTTTTGTTGAATTGCGCTGAAATATTTTGGCCAATACTCTGGTTCATAACTTTCTTGGCCATTTGCAATTTCGTTACACTGGATTATTTTGATTTTTTTGCAGAGCTGCAAAGAAATAATTGATTAGTTGTCATTGAATTTTTTAAATGATGAATATCACTCATTATATGCCTAAGTAAGTTTTGAGCACAGTTGAGTGCAGAAAGCGAAGCCAACGGATTTATTTCAACTCAAAAAAATTATGTACAATGAACTGTGCAGATGGGATGAGCAATGAGCCACCTGCTCCTGTATTTCATATTCTCTCCGGACCAATTAGTTCACTTTGTTCTTGTCTCGGAATTATCGGTAATGTACAGGTACTTTTTTAATTTTCTCAGTTATTATTTCGAAATTAATGATGAATTTAGTTTGAATAACGAATTTGACTAAATGTTTCAATGTTGAATGTGGTCGGTGACAAAATGACCAAGTTATTTTTACCTAGGCTATTGTTTTGAAAGTTCGGACTCTGTCTTCCGGACACTTACAAAAGTAAACTCAACATTAAAAAATTGGTATAACTAGCGATCATTCACCTGTACTTTATCCACAAATGACTCTCCAGAAAAAATTTGCCCTTGCATTAAAAGCCAATGAAACCAATCTGACCAGAAATGGTGAATTCTAGCCACTTACAGAAATCTGATAAGACATATAAAAAGATTCAATATATATATATATTTATATATATATGTAATATATCTGAAAAAACTGTGAATATAAATAATTGGTTTTTTCAAGGATTTTTAAAGGTTATTAACAAGGTCTTTCATCAGCGCAATCAGTGAGTACCATTGTAGAGGTCCTGTAAACGGTTTCCATAAAAAAAAAAAGTTTTAGTTGCTGAGACTGCTTCAAAGCAAAGCAGCTAACGAATTCAGTTGCCTATTTACGGCTTCTGTAAGTGCACTTGCGATAGCGGACATTATTCTTTTGATCAGCTCGCTTTTTGGCTATTCCATTCCGCTATGCTATAGTTACTTCGGTTTAAATTATGGCATTAATTATTCAGTCCTAATTGCTCATATTGTGGCATGTGCTTCAAATACAGCTGCGGTATGTTTTAGAAAATTATTCTGTTTCGTTCGACATTGAAATATAAATATTTAATTTGCAGTAAAGACAATATAAATATATAATTTTTCATCGCTTAGCCATTTTGTTATTATTTATATGAAAGAGCAGACTACTTTAAAATCAAGGGCCTAAAAAATAAAAATCAATGAAATAACCTAAAACAAAATTAATAATTATTATACCCAATTAGGGAGAGGATGATAGAGTGGAATGTTGTTTGCGATTTTCTTTGGCAATATACCCGTTATTAAGAATGGAATCTGAAGGATGCAAGAAACCCATAATGTAATCTTATCCACCGAATGGCTTTATGCCAAAGAGGTATTATTTAGTCCAGCCAGCAAGCCAGAAGCAGTGAATGCAATGTAATGAAAAAAGAATCAAAAAAATAAATAAAAACACACCATTTCTGGTTAGACCACTGGGCTAACTTGTCGGACCAGAAAAATCTTGCCATGGAGTAACTTGATGATAGAAATGCAAATAGGTTATGAGTACGTCATTAGATTTTTGAAGGATAGATTTGTTCTTTCCTGAAATAGAACTGTGGCATCAGCATTCTGAACTGTGAGCAATAATCAACTAAACCACTCCACTCCAATATAATTATCATTTCGCATTTCTATATTCAAAAAAAAGTATACTAAAATTTAAAAATAAGCTAAATTATTTTTTAACCCATCTATTCAATTTATTTTAAGTGGAATTTGCATGCATATGCAATTTCCTTTTTTTGCAGATTTGGCTTGTAACTCTAATTACAATCCAACGGTATCGAGCAATAGCAAAACCTTTCCTAATGATGCAAATGAGAACACTTTCAATTCCATCTCCAAGACGTTCAGCCATCTCCTTATCGGCATTGTCGAATTTTTCGTATGAAAAATCATTTCGATACTGCAGATGGCCAATTCTCGTTAGCATTTTAGCAGCTATATTGAACATTCCACTCTTTTTCGAGCTAACAATCACGGTAATTTATTTTTGCCCTATCTGCTGCTAACTTTTAATGACAATAGTATGTTATAATTTTGATATGCAAACATTAGATATATGCAAGCTATTTATCTTAAGCTTATCAAAAAACCAAAAAATAATTGGTCTAAAATATTCTTTCTTGATATTTTTTAAATATTAAAATATTTTTGAATTAGCCTTAGTACTTTCATTGTCCTCGAGTTCTCGAGTGTTTCTCTGGTCAAGGAATCTCATTCTAATAGTGAATCGATGAAGCCAAATCAATTGGTAAGCTAGAAGGTGCTTTAGAAGAAAAGGATTGTGAGAAAATAACCTTTATTTCGAATAAACATTGGAATCAAAAAAAGTAAATAAAGAGTAAATAAAAAAGTAAATAAACTCTTAGAGATAAGTTAGTACTCACCATTTCTGGCTAGGCTTGTTCCACCCAGTTCAATGAGCATTTTTTACTACTGAATCACTTGGCATCGGAGGTTCGTTAGTACCATCCAAATTTTCAAGTAACAGGTTTATTCCTACCGTAAGCAGGATCCAAACTTTGTTGCTCAGTATATGAATAACATTAGAACAACCATTCGGCTTTATCAATAATTTAAATAATTTTCTTAAATATGCATCGATTTTCGATAAAACAGCTCAAAAATTTATTAAAAGAATTTTTAAATCAAGCAAATAGCACTCAACGAATTTAGAAAAATAATCATTAATTTTTTATTTAAGTGATTTCTTTTAATTAAATTATTTTCAGAATTGTTCAAATGACTCAAAAATTATCATTCAAACGCCATTACGCTATCATATAATTTATAAAATATTATATCGTGCAATTTTTAAAAGCCTTTTCGAAACGATTGGCCCATTTATTGCTGTTTTAATAATTACCATACTAACACAATCACTTATTCAACAAAATCGAAATGCACGAACTGAACTTATGAATAAAACTTCTAAATATAAGCGGTAATTGCTTCCTTACGTTTAAATTATCCTTAGCGATATCCCTTTAGCTTGATATTATTATTTTTTTTCTAGTTTTAATTTCTTGTTCTTTGATTGTATTGTGGATCTATCTGTGCTTCTATCTCCTTCTCTAGCCAAGGGATCTCAACTTAGTAAGCAGCGAAACTCACCATATCAAAAATATATTAGGTCGAGGGGAATTCTTTATTCCTCATGTTCTTTCTTATTTCACGTTAATTTTTAAAGTTTAGCAGTTCTTTTTGTGGATATTCTATGGAAACCTATCACTTTTAAGTGAATATTTATAACTTTCAGAGAGGAAACTTCACTGAAGCCGTTTACTTATGTTGCTGTAACAATGCGAAATTATGATGTAATATTAAGCTATTACTCAGTCGTTATTGCTGTAAAATTTCTCCTGTTTCACTTCCTCGTGCCAGCACTTGACTTATGGGAAGCTTTATTGCCGCTTAATATTGGCCTATTTAATAATGCTGTAGCAATAAGTAATTTTCTTGTACTTATCGACGCTTGTACAAATTGTCTAATTTATTTGCGCTGGAAATTCGTTAAAATGGGTATTAAATGTTGCATAATGCAAAAGGAAGAGAATTCAATCGCTGATCAAAAACGTTCTTTCATAAGTACAAATACTTGAAGCTGCAACATGTTTTATTGTTAAATTTTTGGCCGAAAGCAAATTACTTCCTAATTGAATATTTTCTTAGATTGTATATAAAGCATTTCCAGAAAAATATTTTCTATCACTTTCGACCATCTATCTTGCAATTTATAAATTATATCATAATAAAACGACTCTCTAGCTTCGAATCAAAAAAGGCGTCGATGAAATGTCGAACTTCATCTCTGCGATGATCCGATGGAGCACTATAATTGTGGTATATGCCTCATGAAAAACTTTAAGCCAAATGGTTCAGATGGTTTTTTCTTGTCTTGATATTATCACATGTGAACGAGTTTTGAAGAATTACTTGCCGAATTCTTCGCCTCGCTCTAAATCGACATTTTTCTCCTAGATTGCTATCTTTAGACTTTGAAGCTGACGCCTATAACAGTAATTGTTGGCAGTAATTGTTTTGCCAGCTCTTGATAGAGAACACCCCAGTCGAATCTCATTTCGCGATTTCATTAACCACACTCAGAGAACTTCTTTTCCGAATAATTTCGCTGCTGGTATTCCTGATTGCGCTGGGGTAACGCGGTGATTTTCGGCGTCGTTACAAAACTCACTTCTCATCACCAGTCAGGTAATGCCTGAATGCTGTTTGCCTTCTGAAATTGTGAGTATGATATATAAACTGTAGGTATGCAAAAATAGACCCAACTATAGCTGTAAGGAAACTTCTGTTATTGCCTTTAGTTCATCTTGAAGACCAAAGTCATTTTTCTTGAAGTTTACAGATCATTCGCTACATGTATTATTTCATCTCCAAAAGTTCGTCAATTTATTTCTTCGTTTCTGTTTCCAGGACGAAAAAGAAAGGTGGAAAAATGTCGCATATGTTTCTTGTCAGTAGCAATGCATAATTTTACATAATGAATTCTAATAGTAAATGCATGAATAAAGCACAGAAATTCAAATCTATTTCCCTTAGGCAATTCATTTAAAATCACCTCACAAAATCATGCATTTTGCTGGAAACTTATGCACCCAGCTGATATCTGAAATTGATTTTCTGAAATGATTTTTTATAGTTTTCGATTGTTTTAATTTGTTTTGATAATTATTTAAAATAATAAGTATGGTAAATACAATGCTAATTTATAGCCTCTGTGTTTTTGCGATCGCAAAGATTCATAATTGTTCATAAAGCTGAAAAAAGTAACAAAAAACTATTGGAAATTCAATATCCCACATAGAAAACTTCTCAGTTTTTGCAAATTGCTGAATTTCTCTATTTTTTATCACATTTTCAGGAAATAAAACCAATTTTTGATAATCGTTATCAGATTTCGTTTAATTTATAAGATTGCACAATCAACTTAAGCTCGTAAATCTAAATTATTCTTAAATTATTCTTAAATAAAAACTTCTGAATACAAAAAATCATTTTTACTTAGCAATTTTACGGAATGTCACTTCAATAGTTCATGTATAATAAACAGATGCGGAAAAGGAAATAGAGTCCGAAACCTGAAGGCAATAAGTTAAAACGACTTAGAATGCGAATGATCTTAGTGCTTTTTTTTCTTTTTTTGTTGCATTTCTATCAATAGAACTGATAAATTAACTAAACGACCTTGTTGTTGTCACTCAGTTCACCAATCATCGCTATTTATAGTGGAAAGAATTCACTGCGAAAAATTTGACCTATATTTATATCGAATATGAAGCAAAAATAACTTAAATAACTCTGATTCTTTTTTTTTCACCGAATTTTGCGTTTATTATAATAATTTTCGAAATTTGCCCTTTTAAGATCATTCATATTCCTGGTCATTTTTAACAATTATTGATTCTCTTACGAAAACGAATGTGGTAATTTTATACTTCTTTCTACTTTCTTATTTCTAAAATCATCTTAAAGTGATAATTTCAGTCTCCTCTTCTCCTAGTAGGCTATGGCCTATTCCTCTGACTATTAGAGTAAGGTGAGACGTAGAAAGGTAACTTCAGAAAAGAAGAGATGGGAACAAGAAAAGTCTGATCAATGGTTCTATAAATTATTATTAAAACTGAAAAACTAATAGCGAATTGAAAAATGTGAATAATTTATATTTTTGTTCCCTTTTTTTTATCGAATATTTCCACTTGACTAATAAGCCAATATAATTTAAAAAAGTTCTGATTATTTTTTACCTATTCAAAAAATGCTAACATTAAAATAACTTTATTATTATTATAGAATTTTATTTACTTTTATTATTTTATCACTCACCGGATTACCAGTTTATTTATCAGTTCATTATTCGCATTGGAATCATTAAATTATTCTTTATTAATTAATTAAAAATTAAAAATAATGAATTTATGAATTTTGTAATTTTTCTTTTCTATTTTCTTGGCAAAAATTGATTTTCTAAATTTTTTTGACAAAATGATACAATTTTTTTATAAAAAAAGCGTAACATTCAATGTATTCGATTTTTTAGTTCCATTGTTAAATCAAATTTAGATGGAAACTTGAAAAAAAGACCAATTATAACTAATAAATCCTTATGGTTACTCTCGTTAAATAGAGAGGCTTGTAAATGATTAGCACTCACCATTCCTGACTAGGATCTCTCCACTATCTGTTTGAGCGATGCGACATATTACTTACGAAACACCTTCGGGATGGAAGTATTTATGTATTCCCAACAACATGCCGGCTTTTTCTGCCAGGCGTAAGAAGCAAACCTGAATTATGCTGGTTGCGTTCATTATCCCATTTCATATTTTTTCTTTATTAATTTTTACTTTATAATTTCTTTTAAAAATCAAAAATAGCATTTGATCATTTTATTCAAAATGATACACAAGTAGTATTTGTTTATTCAACTGCAGTTTATGTTTGTAACCATATTTTAAGCTTAAATGCTGTGATAATGTATTTAATTTCGAAAAATTTCAATTTTTCAATTTCAATTTTTCGACAACTTTTATTTATCCGAGCGTAAATTTGCTAAGTGCCAGCTATTTAATAAAGTTTACATATTACATATTTAATAACTAAAATTGGCTATTTAATAATTGTTCAATTGGTTAAATATTGGAGCGTTTTAGCAAATTTTGATAAATTATCAACGCTGAAAGATGTTTTTTTTAAATCTTCTTAATAACATTCATCGTTCCTGGTTTGGCTGGTTTGGTACTAAGAGCAGATCCTTTCTCCAGAGGGTCGCTTGTGCATAGAAAAACAGATGCATTACGAACAACACCCGATTTTGGCTTACAGGAACAAGTTTACAGCGACTGATTCTCTAATCGTGAAACAACACAACATCCCATCATCATATCCATATGACCAGAAGGGAAGAATTGTTTACTCCAAAAACAGTAATTATGAAATAGTAATTTTATGAATCTTCGAATGTTTTGAATGCTGGTGATAAGATTGTAAGATTTTAGATCATAGTTTAGATCATAAATTCTCGATTCATTTTACAAAGTTCGGTTTCATGAGCAAATTTTTGCAGTTATATCCATTATAATACAAAATTAAGACTTCCTTCTTGTAAAAGTTTGTAAAATCATAAGAATCTCCTTGCCCTGATAGAGTCAAATTAAAAAATCTGGATGGTGCAGCGACCAATCGCTATATTTTATCGCCAGGTGACCCTTTATCAAAAAATTTCTAACCGTATTAATAGCTGGAGGAATCAGCATAACCAAAAATGGTGAGCACTAACCATCTAGTTCTTTAATTAATCAAGCTTCTACAATTTAGGATGGCTTCAGTTACTGCCCAGTCATAATTACCATTTTTAAATTATTTACAAAAGTAAAAATAGGTAAAAATAAAGGAGTATTCAATTGACAAAATTAAAATAATTTTTCGCAATGGTTTTATGGGAAAAAAATTTCCGATGCACTTTATTGTGCAATTTTTCCCTAATATTCGCGAAATTTTCGCAAAATTTTTGAGTTTTTAAGAAGGGATCAATTTTTCAGAAAAAATATAATTCGAAGTATGGTAAAAATTGAAAAAATTGAAATTTTCACTAAAATTTTCATTAAAATTGAACTATCTTACCAGATCCAGATTTGCAATCGCTCGAATTCCGAAATATTACTAATATTATTTTGATTTAAAATTTTTTGCTTCTAAGATTTTTTTAATATTTATAATTTTATATTATTAATAAATATTTTTTAATATTTATTTATTTTAATATGTGCAAATATTTAATATTTAAGATATATTTTTTATATATTTGAAGTACGTCATCTTTACTCGTTCGAATTTCACTTTACCTCAAACCAAATTTATGATTTATGGACCATTATAACATGTTCTCTTATAACATGGAGTATTTTTTAGAGTATTAAATAAATATTAAACAAGAAATTTATATTAACCGAAATTTGCGGTAATATTCCTGCTGGAATCGTTCGAATATGTGAAGATATCACTGGCTTGTCATAAATGTATGACTTGCGAAGAAATTGGTTATTAAGTAATCGCTTGTCAGTACATACACCTATTTCTTCGAACAGGTTGATTTTATACTATTCTATAAAGCAATTTCGATCAATTAAAAAATTTTAACAGGGTTCTGAGTGCATTCATGACAATTTGTCTTTTTTTTCCAAGTTGTAATTAATCTCCTATAAACTAAATTATATAAGGTTAGAAAAAGAATCACTCATTTCCAATTCTTTTTTTGTTTACAACGTTTGCAGTTTAGGTCAAATTACAGTGGAGATTCACGAAGAAAACTATCGGCAGTAAAACTAAATCCTGAGGCGAATCAAGAGTTTGCAGTTTTAAATCGACTAAGTGATCGAATACGACGGGGTAGGAGCAGATTTCCATATACTCCAGTATGTTTGAATTTTCTTTTTTTTAACACTACTCATCATTCCTTTTGGTTTGGCTGACTGCATTGATTACTTACATACTACCAGTAATAGCATGCTGAAACTGTTTCATCAGATAGTAACTTGGCGACAAAAGTACGAGTCACCAGAACAGCTGGCGTTTAAATACTTAG